AGATTGGGAAGGTGGGCGTAAATCTTGACTACTTTTATAGTTTCCAAGCCGGACTATTCCGAATTGAAGATTGTGGTCGCGATGGTTGGGTTGCCTGCCCGTGGTAAATCGTACCTCAGTAACAAGCTCACTCGGTATTTGAGGGTACGTACAGTGTAAAATTTGTTAATTCTTCGACTGACGTAGGTCATACCAGTGGCTAGAGTATTCAGTCGAGGCATGCTTCAAGCAATCCAATCGCCGTGGATACAAAAATCTCTAACATTACCGGCAGGTGTTCAACGTTGGACAACTCAGGAGGAGCAAAGCCCGAGCAAAGAAGGAAAAGTGCGCGCCCTTAGAGTTCATACACCATACCAGTGAACTCACGGTGTATCAGGAGCGGGATAACGGAAGACCACACCGCCTCCTACTTTAGCCACTCGGACAACAAGGCGTCTCAGCTCCGGGAAGCCCTCGCGGAAGAATGTCTCGAGAGCCTAATATCTTGGCTGAAGGAAGGCGGGAACGTGGCCATTCACGGTGTGTAGCCTGGCTGCTGTCGAACGAAGCAACGGAAACCGACTTGGCTTCACAGACGCAACCAATAGCACTGAAGCTCGAAGGTCAGTGTAATCGCCCCTGTCGTTCGCGAAAACTCATCGTTTTTGCTTTTCAGGGAAAAAATCGCTGCTCGAGTTGCAAAAGAACCCGGCCTAGTTGCTCTGTTCTTGGAAAGCTGCTGCGATGATCCAGCAGTAATAGCTGCGAATATCGCTCTCAAAGTTTCCGCCGGAGACCCCGACTACGCACATATGTCTAGGGAAGATGCTGAACGAGACTTTCGTAATAGGATCAAGCAATACGAATCAGTCTATCAGACGGTTACGGAACCTCATCTCAGTTATGTCAAGATTATCAACGTAGGAAATCAGGTGCAAATGAACAAGATTCACGGTTACCTACAGTCTCGTATCGGTTTCTACCTTATGAATTTGCACCTGAAACCACGGAGTATATTCATGTCTCGAGTGAGTTTTGGCCTCTTTTGCTCGTCACGTTACTAACCTTCTGGCGGTACAGCATGGAGAGAGCCAGTTTAACGTCGAGGGGAAGATTGGTGGAGATGCACCTCTGTCTGAACGAGGCAGGCAATATGCATCGGCTTTGCCTAAACTGGTCAAAGATAACATCGGAGAGGCGGAGCTGACGGCAAGTGCTTCTGGAATCATACGCATATATCCATTTTGACGCTCGCCTGACATGGTAGGTATGGACTTCAACTCTCCAACGAACAATCGAAACCGCTGCCCAGCTGCCTTACCCAAAGCTGACATGGAAGTCCTTGGATGAACTTGATGCTGGGGTTTGCGACGGGATGACGTACGAAGAGATAGAGGTATGGAATTGATCCGACTCACGTAACTGACCCCACGGTTGATCACACGCGTCAGGCTGAGTACCCAGAAGACTTCGAAGCGAGGGATGATGACAAGTTTAATTATCGGTACAGAGGTGCATTTCATTCCGCCTTTGGGTGAATGCAGGTGCTAACTGTGTGGTTCAGGTGGTGAATCCTATCGCGACGTGGTGGTACGGTTGGAACCCGTCATCATGGAGCTGGAACGACAGGACAACGTTCTCGTGATCGGTCACCAAGCCATTATCCGCTGCCTGTGGGTCATCTATCCTGCTACCAGTACTCGTACTCATCAAGAGATCCATCTAGATACGCGTATTTCCAGAACCTTTCCCAAGAGGAGCTCCCGTACATCAACATCCCTCTTCACACGGTAATAAAACTCACACCCAAGGCATATGGTTGTGATGAAGAAAGGTTGGTAGCTTTGCGCTTGGAAGGGCAGGTTCTTATATCGCTACTAGGTACACCCTCCCGATTGGTGCGGTTTCAACCCATAGGCCAAAGCCGCCGAAAGCGAGCGACGCAAAGGCAAAATCTCACCCAAAGCCAACCCAAACATCAACTCGGCGTGACTATTATGGAAACTTTCAGGCTTGATCTGGGAAACTCACCAATGTCCGGCGTCAACATAATTTGATTGTATACTCAGCATAGATAGCAAGTCGTAACGATGCATTTTGTTTGACTAACTTACACAAAGTTTAGGATACTATATATCTTAACGTTTGTGGGAGGGTCCCCCCACTTCTAGCGAGGACAAAACTGAAGCGACCCAGGTTCGAACTAAGGACCGTCTGTGTACACTTTGTGTTGGACGGACGTGATTATAACCAACTACACCATCACTCCTAACAAGTGTAGAAATTTGAAATTACTAATTTGTTGGTCGCGTATTAGTCCGATTCTGGCTTCGTACCCACTCTTATCACAATAAATTGCTACATCCCAAGTTATGCGACTTCCGAGAGTGCAGAGGGCTGCCTGGAGCCTTTCTTTGCCCCGCTACCTTCGAACGCGTGCAGGCTCTAGTTTAACTCTCGCTGAAAGCTCCGTTTTGGTTGGTCCTCCCGACCCAGTCTCTAACATTCGGCCTGTCCTGCGTGGGACCGTACTCAAAGACGGAACACAAGCCGCACATCCGTACTCTCTGTCCGAGTTCTCACGTAGCGAAGTTGTTGGGTACTCAGCATCAGCTCTTCATGAGCGACATTTGGAGACGTTGAACCATTCGTTCTGGACTGATGTACGTCTGAGTGTGTTCTGAGGATCTCTTCATCACCATCTCATGCAAATGTAGGTCAACACCAGATTCAACGCTGCTCGTCAGGAAATCCTTGATTCACATCCGCCAGCCAAGTCTCCCGAGGAAGCAGCAGCAAGAGATGCCGCACTCGAGGCCAATTTGGCCGCCTTTTATCGTACGTGGCTCTCGGCGGAAGACGCTAGGTTTCGGGCGTATACTATGCAGTATTATGTCGAGCAGGCCCGTGGTATCTGGTTAGCTTTCCGATCGTATTGGTTAAGATAGTACAGGGAAATGGAGTAATAGTAAAGAAGAGCTCAAGCTTTTGTGACGCGCTGGACAGCCTCTGCGTACCACTCGTCTACATCGCCGGCGTCCAGCAGTCGGCGGAGTGCTACCTGCTCTAGCTCAAGGTCGCTTATCAACAGCTCTATTGAATGGGCGGGGAGATCCGGGAAGCGGTTCCCCAGGGCCGTAGTGGTAGGTATAATCGCCGCTTGAGAGGGTGGGATGAGCAATTTTTCGGAATGTTCTTCGACGACATGCTCCATGAGGCGCCACACTGCAGTTTGCTGGATGTTGCGCCAGATTTGTTCGTCGGTTTGAGAGGTTTGATCACGGACTTCGATCCAGCTATCACCATAACCTTTAGTCTCTAGGCGCGTGCAGGCATAGCATTAAACTCACTCGTCCACGATCCAAGCTCTTCTCCACAAAGCTCTTAACGCATCTTCGTCCTGCGTAGCACTGTATTAGCTAGCCTTTCTGTGTGGGAAGCTGCTAGAACTAACTGGCATGCGTTCAAGAACCGAGGCAGCATCGGTAAGCGAAGCGTAGCCAGGTTTGCTCACACGTAGAGTCAAGACATCTACCATATCGTAGCTGGACAGCACGTTCCTTTGCAGCAGCTGTTTCGCCAAGCGTTTGAAGAGCTGTAAGACCTTATTAGCGTCATTATTCCTGTGTTAAATGGTAGATCCTACCGCGACGCTCGCCTCCTCCACGGATTCGGGAACCAAATGCTGGGCGAGGATATCAGCTTGGGTGTCGATTGAAGGGTGACCGCGGACGTTCGATTCTTGGACTATCTGTTCAAATTCTGCTCGCATCTCGTCCTGGACTTCTACCACATCGAGATGGTCATCGTAGGCTGGTCCAGGTCAGCGAAATAAGACATTGGGCTGGGCACGAAGCTACATACTCTGCAGCTGCCCCTGAATATCTTGCGAGTTGAATTGCTCGAGGTCAGTCTCTGCCACGGTGGTCAATTTGGACAAGCTGAGCAGGAGCTGGGGGAGCTATTGTCAGTTGAAGCTGAACAATGTATCAGGTTCACATACCTTTAAAGCGTCGACTTTGGTTTCGTTCGCGATTTCTTCGGAGAGAGTTGCGGTTGCGCTGTTGAAATCGCCGATTGCGACGTCATGTAACCAAGAGATGCGCGGGTAGTCGGTGCTCTTGAGGAACCCTTGGAGCAGCGGGTAATAAATCTGGTCTTGGGATAACAACGTCTGCAGTTTTCCTACCAAGAAAAGTCGGACCAGCGTGTAAAAGGATAGGTAAACTGGGCTCACCGTGCTCGACGTACCACTGGTACAACTCGCTCGCAAAGTCTTGTTGATATCGTTCCAAGTAATTCTGCGTCCTCAAATCACTTGCGAGCTTGCTGTCGTTGCACAACTCGGCCAAACTACGGAAATCCCTGTATTGTTCTGCCAGCCGGAATGCGTCTTCGCCCTGGTCGTAGATTGCTGCATGTGCTCTGCTTTAATAAAAGCGTAGCCTAGAAACTGGGATTTCTTACCCAAATTTCGCAACATGGACGGGCGGTAGTTGGCAAACTGCTGGTCTAATGCTGCAGCTTCCTTCCTGTCTTCAGCCGATGCATTATGCCTGGACTGGCTGTTAGTTCGTGTCCAGCTTTAATAAAAGGGAATGATCTTACCTCTGCAAGTACTCCAATCGCTCTCGATACCCAGCGAACAAGTATTTGGCCAGTGCCTGCAGTTGCGTCTTGAGTTCGTTTTGGATGGCACGTTCAGCAGGGACAGTCTTGAGAGCATTGCCTAAATCCCTCGTGCGATCGCCCAGCATACGGCCAGTGTGTGTGAACAAGTCTTGTATCGACTCCAACACATCTGGTTCACTTGTCCATGGCACCATGCTTGGCTGTGCAGTCTCGAGGCCGTAAAAGCCGAGATTGCGTTGGCGGAAGATCTCGATGGTGCTGTATATCGCCTTTTTGAAGGGCTTGGACTTAGAAATTTAAAACATGAGCACATAACAACACTTACCAGCACGATTTGATTAGCCACGCGCAATAGATCAACCTGGTTGTGGAGACCACTTTGATACGCCTCATCTACAATCTCGTCGGCATTTCGCACAATGAGTCCAAGCGCTTCAAGCTGAAGAAGTGTTAAATCAAGGTAAAATACTCGACGAGAAGATCACGCACATGGTACTTGAAGAACGCTCGAACAGGACCCTCTTCGACGGATAAATTACCTTCAGCTACGTAACGCCCGATAGCCTCGGTGAGTAGGGATTTTTGGTGCTGGCCTGAGTTTTCGCTGCACATATATTAGCACCAGCTAGGACCGAGGCGAGTTATAAACCAACTTTTCATGTTGCCAAAGTGCGGTAGCTGCACACAATTTCTCTGCGTCAGCAGCAAGTGATTGCCTACTGAAGTCGGACATCTAATTACACCATACACGTTAAAAGCCGAACAAAGATCGCGGACGAATTACGTACGTGCAAGGTCACCCGGTCTTCGTTGAGGAATCTCATGAGCGCCTGTAGTTGATTAAGTCGCTGGCCAATATGCGAACTCAGGTCCATAGCATGACGAGACTCGCTGAATTCTGAGGGATGGGATAAAATTCTGAATTCCGGCCGGCTTTGAAGCACCTACCTGAAGCTAAGATATCATGGCTTAATCCAACAGCTGCGCCACCAAGGTCGGCTTCCTTGAGTTCGGGGTCAAGTCGGAATATGAATGGATTCTAAACGTGTGGATAGGTCAGTTCAAGTTGATGCATGAACAAGGGATGCATACATACATCTTGAATGGTCCCAAAACGTATAGCTTGCTCCATGACCGCCCTGAGCTGCTTGACTTTTGTCCTATGAAACAGCTCGTTTAGCTGATTTTGACAAGGAATGTATGGAGAAAACTTACAGGTCATCCACGCGCTTGATCTTTGTGAGGTCCAGCTGCACGTTTAATTGACCGGCAGTCGCAGTCATTAATATTAATTCGGAAGTGTTCGAATTCAACGGATGCTTGTCCATAATGCCGTAGCCCAGCGTACGATTCCATCTTCGTTCTTTGAAAAGCAGATGTGTTTTAAAGGTTGACCCTATCCAGGCAAGCGTTTGAGTTAGCACCGGCCATGGAAGAACAAAAAGGTTATCTAATATACCGGTATTTAGGGATTGAAGAGTTAGAGCGTCGACGAATTGAACAAAGGCGACGTTCCCACTATCGATCAAGGCAAGTTTGGGATTAGACGCGGGGCGTGGGTCTCGGGCCTGTTCATCCCAAACTAAGCGAGGGAACCCATGGGAAGTATGAAGCAGACTTACGCCCTCGTACGGGACCTTTTCTACCGGCCCCGGGACCAAGCTGTCGCCAGAAGGGGCAAAGGAGGCGATTGCATAGGTTCGATTCGGAGTCGAGTTGGTCGACGCCAATTCAGCCGGGGAAATGTATGAGAAAAGAACCAGAACTTGATCGTTGCTGTTAACTAATCAGCTGCCAGGACAAAATTGGAGTTGAGGCTCAGACACACTTTTGCATTTTGAGATCGTGAAGCTCAATATCCAACTCGGGGTGCTCCGAGTTCTCTTGATCATCCGGCACGATTTCATCATCCAAAGGAGTACGGATATCGTATTCGACCGACAGCTTTTGAAGTATAAGTATTGAATTATGGTTTTACAGAAGGTGTCTTGGCTACATACCTGCTCCCACCCATCACCTATCGTCCATTTCTGCAGTGTCCTCTCCGTCAAAGCCCAAATATTTTTACTTCGTGCTTGGCGGGTTTCAGACGCAGTTTCACCGACCGCAACGACTGAGCCTCCATTCATATTTCCGCTGGACCTCCCAAAAAAGCGAGAGAACGATAACAACCCCTGGTGTTGAGAAAACGCAGCCACAGCAACATGTGACTTGCCACCAGGTGAAGACAAGGCCATGCGAAATAATCGGCCAGAAGTTGTGGCGAGTATGTAGAATGCGGCCTGGGATCACTTGTATTAGGTTTTGGAACAAAAACATCAGCAAAAACTACTTACCTCGCTCCTATACATGGTTGAGACATACTCCCCAGCAGAAAGCGGCACAGAACTGGAATAAAATTGTTCCGCGCCAGCAAGTCCAGCGTTGATGCTTTCCCAAAGACGAATCTCTCCCGTAGAGGCGATCATAACTAGGCCAGGCTCGCGACTAGATCCATACGGTATGAGGGACACGTTGGGCAGCATCAAGTGCGATGCGGCTCCAGTACTAGCTTGTTGTCGAGGAGTTGGAAAGATATAACAGGTAGGGGAACCATGGCCTCGCTAATAGAAGAACGATGAGCGATAGGCTAGCCAT